TTCATTTCCTCCTCCTGTCTCAAGTTTCAGCGGTCCCTCTCAAATTTCCACCTCGCTCATTAAAGTGCTCTCATCATTCCATCTTTGACCTTTCTTTTCTCACTTTTCATCTACCACCTTCAAATACATTCATTCGCCATGAGATTTTCATCTTTTGCCGCCCCATATTGGGAAACCAAATTATAAATTTATTCTTTTTCAGTTGGTCAACGGACCTCATAATTGCCATTGACCGTGGTGGACAACGGAAGATGATTACAATTTCTTATTAAGTGTATGATTGACTTTTTTAATAAAAATTTTGTTTAAAAAAATTGTTATAAAAGTGTTATTTTTATAAATAAAAAATAAAAATAAAATATTAATTTTATTAAAATTCGAATAAAAAATTTAAACGCACTTAGTTTTCACGGTCTAACGATTATAAATCGATTTGTAAGATGCATCCCCCAATCAGAGGGTTGAGGTTTAATTCTTGCTTTCCCTATAATTGTAACCTTGTTCAAAAAATAAAAAAAATTCAAACAGAAGCATCGGTTCTGTGTTTCTAAAATTTGTAATAAAATAAAAAAATAACTTATAAAAAATTATAATATTTTTTATTAATTGTAATATTTAGTATATCTTGTGTTTTTAAAAGCAAAAAAATCTTTTCCACGAGCAGTATCAAACGGTAAATCTAAAATCTTTGTTACTTCCCTCTTATTGATTTCGTTTTGCTTTCTTTTTATATCATTTCAGTTCAATGAGGATAGAGTTTCGAGTTGTTTTGAATTTGAAAAAAAGTAGAACAAGCAAAACTCTCAAAATTTTGGACTATTTGAACACTAAAACCGAACAACAAAAGATTTCGGTGACCGAAACCATACTTTTGATGACTAAACCGTGTGGAGTTCGGAAACAATGTGCAGTAATTGAAACCAAATAAAATTGATTTGTCAGTTCAGTTAAAATCAAAATCGACCGATACTCAGTCCTAGGTAAAACTGGGCAAAAAAGACCAACCCAATTGGGTTACAGATTACCGACTCGAACTGTGTTGCTTGGTTTGGATTAATAGGGCTTTGGGCCCGAGACTTCGGGTTCTGCCCAACACTGAACATTATGGTTCGGGTTCGGTGGGTTAGGCCTAAATCGAAAAACCGAATACACCCACCGAATAACCAAACTTTCTTAATTAATTAAATATTAATAAAAGTAAAATGAATTGCAAGGTTGATTTCCTACAGATATTTCAAATTTTGCAGCTGCATGCAGTGTTTCCGCTTTTGGAGGTGCAAGTTTGACTATTTACTCACGTTTTTTAAATTGAATAAATATCAATCAATATTTTAATTTTGGTTAAACCCCTTTTTTGATCCCTCAACTATTATACAGACCCTCGATTAAGTCCCTTAACTCAAAAAATCCCTGACTTGGTCCCTACTGTTTATCATTTTTACCCTAATTTGGTCCTTCTATTAAAAATCTTTCCACGTATACTGTTAATTCACGGTAAGACGATGACATGTCAAAAATTTAATCCACGTGGAAGACAACATGGTAGAAGCTAGTGACATAGCAATAAAAGTTAAAAATTCTTTCTCCTTCCTCTTCATTTCCTGAACCCAGAGATTGGGATCGTCAAACCCATCGCCATGGACTCCTTCAAACCCAACTGGGCATTCCTCGTTCCCTTTCTCCTTCCTCTTCCTTTCCTTCTTCATCAATCAATTCATCATCCTCATCAAACAACAACCACAAAAACACAAATTTTTTATTTATTTTTTTGTTGAAAAACCCAGTGCCTGGGTTCAATTGAACCCAACACTGGGTTTGAAGGAACCCAGAGCTTGGGATCATTGAACCTTGGTGATGGGTTCCTTCTTCGAACCTAGCTGGGTTCGTCGGACCCAACGCATGGGTTCGTCGGACTCAGCGCTGTGTTCGACGGACCCAAATCGCCTGGGTTCGACCCTGGGTTTGTCGAACCTAGCGCTAGGTTCCTTGGAACCCAGAGCCTGGGTTCCTCGAAACCCAAGCATTGGGTTCCTCGGAACCCAACAGTGGCTGATGGGTTTCTAAGGGGGGAAGGGTAAAGAGAAAGGGAAAGAAAGGGGAAAGAGAAGAAAAAAGGAAAGAATTTTTTGAAGTTTTAATTTTCATATTATTATTTTTTTATATTATTATTATTTTTGCCACGTGTATAATATTTTGCCACGTCATTCTATAATAGTGAATTAACATCATAAGTAATGGGATTTTAACGGAAGGACCAAATTAAGGTAAAAAGGGTAAACAGTAGGGATCAAGTCAGGGATTTTTTAAGTTGAGGGACTTAATCGAGGGTCCGTACAATAGTTGAGAGACCAAAAAGGGGATTTAACCTTTAATTTTTTATACTAAATTTTATTAGTTTTATTTCAGCAATTAGGTTATCTAAACCTAACCTAAAAATTATTTGGTTTTCCTTTTACTTATTTTTTTCCATTCTATACTCGCACAGCCGTTTCTCCTCTTCCATGTCCCCATCTCATTGATCTCATCTCAATAAAAATCCTTCCTCTCTTTTAACTCTCCCTTCTCATCTCCAGG